GGTCGTGAAGTGGAAGCTGGCGAGGGTGTTGTAGAGGGCGTCCTTGCTGCGCGCCACGGGGTGGAGGCCGACCATCTGGCAGAGCACGCGGAGCGAGGTCGCGGGCAAATCCCCCAGGCTCCCTCCCACCACACGATCGAGCAGGCCGCGCATGTAGTGCGCGATTAACGCGCTCGCCTGCTCGTTGGACGGGCCGGGGGCCGGGGTGCCGGCGGGAAGCCCCGGGCCCTCCCCCGCGCCTTCGCCGAGCCCCCGAGGGCGCTTTTCCCCCAGAAAGGACGGCGGTGCCGCCTCTGTGGAGGGGGCGTGGGGTTGGCCCTCCGCCATGGGGGGGCGCTTCGGCTTTCGCGAGGTCGATTCGGCGATGGCCGCACACCATTGATGCTTCTCCTCAAGGCCGAGGGTGTGCAATCGGCGAAGCGCAAAGCTAAAAATGCCTTTGCGGATTTCATCCTCCTCATTGCGAACGACAGGGTGAAGATCGCCAAAAGGATTGTCGGTGTTTGACATGAGTTCTGTTGGGGTCTGCCGATTAAGTGGTTCGGGTTGGAATAAATTCTGGAGCCTTCGGGGGATACCGTTGTTTTGGCGGTTTGTGCGCACAGTACACGTCAAAATGTTCTTTTTTGGTAGAATTCTAACAGGTTACTTAATAGAATGATCCTGCTACAAGACTAACAAAATAAAAACTTTCTTCCTCTGTGAAGATTTAATACTGATATTTCATTATAGATGGATAGTAATAATTGCAATTTCAATAAATAAATATATCGATAGATAGATAAATAAGAGAAGAAAAGATATACAGAGATACATACATCTAAAAGTAGAAAGATTTATCATTACATTAAATAACAAATAGATAATATACTAATAGATGAATTCATCGATGCTGTTCTCTTCTAACTAATACCCTAATCTTTCAGTTTCACATGGAGATATCCAAAGACAATATTGTCGAGTAAAGACTTATATAGGTGAAGCAAACTCAAAGAATTTGCTATTATAATTCCCTATAATAATAAAAATACCTTTTTACACGATAACTCAACTGGTTTTCTGAAGGTTGTCAGGTGTAGAATCAGGGTCACCGACGTCTGGTACGTTCTTTTTGAATATTTTTTCATTGATTGTATCGTGTGGATCGAACAAAGCCTTGATCACATCCTTTACAGTCGACATTGTCCCCCCTTCCTGACGAATTTCGTTCTCAAACCTCATGGTCACCTTCTTGGCCTCAACTAATTTTTTACGTAACGACGGTTTTGGCGCCTCCGGATCGTCATTTCGGATGTCCGGTTTCAAAAAAGGGCCCATTTCTTTCATAAAACGATTATTATAGTTGACCAGAAATCTTTTCATGCGTGTCCTCACGGATGATGCCAACGTAATAAACATAGTCGCGATCACTAACACCATCACGATGGTGATACAATTGATGCGATAAAACTTTTCATCGAGATCGGCAATAATGTCGGAGCCGGAGTTATGCGGGGGAAATGGACAGGATTCCCCGCTCGCGGTGGTCGGAACGGGAAGGCGGAGAAAAGCGCAAATCGGACCCCAGCCCTCCCCTTCGCGGTAAACCAATAAACGATCCCGCGGTACGACATCTTTGACTCGAGCCTCGAAAAGATCAAGCGCCGAGGCCAACCGCATTGTCGGGGTACGCAAAAGAGGACTTCTCGCGCTCATGGATGAGCCGCGTGTGAAGTTGGGAGAGGTGGCTTTGTAGAGGTCCGTCATGGATTTTACCATTTTCTGGAAGTCCCCAAGTCCGATTCGATTCCGCCGGCTCTGTCCGTTGCCCAAGAGCTGTTGAAATATCCTATCGAATTCACTTTCCCAGAGCAGCTTATCCGCCTCTTCGACGAGAATCACTTTGGTCGATCGCGGGCACTCTTGTAGAATGGTCTCGTACGCCAACGTCGCGGGCGGGCCCACGAGCGCGTCATACGCGGCGACCGCCTGATCGGGCAGCGTCGAGGCCGCATTCTCTTTGGGGATTCCCGTCTTGTCCTTCGTCTTTTCCGCGCGCTGAGGGATTTCCAGGATGACGGTACTAAATTTCTTCTCGTGATTTAACACCATGTACCACTCCTTGAGATGGGTCTGGAAGTTGCCCCTGAATAGGGTCATTTCGAAGAGGTACGGCGTATAACCAAGAATCCGCACCGCCTCGGTCATGGCCCCTCCATTCGGCGTCATGGTCAGCACGAGAAGACGCGGAGGGGGTGGAATGTGATGTACTAAAGTCCGTTTGAATAAACTCATGCTGTCTTAATACTACCACGAAGAGCTTTTTAACTCCTCCCCTCCCTCCCCCTCCTTACTCTCTTAAACTACCCCACTCCTAATCGTTCTTTGAATGAATAAGATTGCGAGAAGGAAAAGATATCAAGCACTTTGAAAGAAGCCTCCAAGGGTTTTTTTTTGTTAGTGGTTGTTGTTTTTGCTGAGAAGAATTTTAGGATTTTCGCACACGGCTACCAAAACACAAAGCCCCCCTCCCCTCCCACCGACATATGCACGCCAGCTCGATTCATTTACCCAAACCGAAGCCTCACCCATCCCACGCAGGCCTTATTTCGAAAGAACCTCCCACGACGCGGCTAAATCCCGTGCCGAAAGCCCTGGCAAGGGGACGGCAAGGGCCATAATACCACACCCCACCGGAGCCGGCGGTGGTTCATTATGAGTTCGCCGGGCCGTCGCATCCTCTTCCGGAACCAAATCCGGATCGCATAAACCCGCGGCATCCGAACCGGCCGCCGTCCCCGTGGGGTTTTGAGGGCGAAGCGATTCTTTGATTCGCCGGAGGCCATCCCGCATGTCCGTCGCGCGAAACGCCGCGTCGCGTCGGGCCTCCGCCGCGCGCCCGACGGCGAGGCGCGCGGGGTCCGCATACCAAAAACGGCCGCCGCCCCTCTCGCACGCGCAGGCGAAGAAACCCGCCATCTGCCGCGGGGATAATCTCGCATTCGCG